CTTATGTTAAACTGCTTTAAATTACTTTTTTTCCACATCAATCTACACTCCATACACCATACTGAAAAAGCAAAAACAGAATTGTCACAACTTTTGTAAATTTATAAAAAAAACTGAAATAAGTACATTGCATAAGTATTCAAGTAACTAAATATTTTGCTGAAGCACCTTTACAGTCTCAAGTCCTTTTTGTTTAATGCGACAAACTTTGATCATCATCATTTGGCAATTATCTGCCATTCTTCTCCTCACCTCTTCACCTCTCAAGCTCTGTCAGGTTGGATGGGGGCAGATGCACATTTTCTAATTTCTCCAGAATTATTTGATTGGGTTCAAGCTCATGCTCTGGCTGGGCCACTCAAGGACATTCACAGAGTTGTCTATAAGCCACTCTTGCTGTGTGCTTAGGTTCATTGTCCTGTTGGAAGGTGAATTTTCTGCCCAGTCTGAGGTTCTGAATGCTCTGGACTGGGTTTTCATTAAGGCCAACTCAATATTTTGGTGCATTGAGCTTATCTTCTACTCTGACGAGTCCCTCTGTCCCTGGCACTGAAAAACAGCCCCACAGCATGAGGCTGCTTCCAGCACACTTTACTTTTGGGGTGGTACTCTTCAGGTGATGAGCAGTGCCTGGTTTCCATCAAACATGATGCTTGGAATTGAGATTCATCAGACCAGAGACTCTTGTTTCTCAAGTCTGAGAAGTCTGAGTCTGAGAGTCCTTTAGGTGTTTTTCAATGAATCCAAGTGTGTTTTCATGTATCTTCACTGAGGAGAAGATTGAGTCTGGCCACTCCGACATAAAGACCATACCGGTGGAGTGTTGCAGTGATATTTGTCCTTCTCTAGATTTCTCTCATCTGCATATATGATCATGGAGCTCAACTAGAGTGACCATCACGTTCTTGGTCACCACTCTAACCAAGACCCTTCTCCATCAATTGCTCAGTTTGGCCAGGATGCCAGCTCTAGTAAGAGTCCTGGTTGTTTCAAACTTCTTCCATTAAGGGTAACAGAGACTACATGCTTCTGTGACCCTTCAATGAAGCAGATTTTTTTCTGAAATCTTCCCCAGATGTGTGGCTTGACACAAACCTATTTCTGAGCTCTACAGACAGTTTTTTTTTCCTGGCTTGGTTTTTGCTCTGATATGTATTAGGAAGGGAAGTTGTGGCCTAATGGTTAGAGAGTCGGACTCGTAACCCAAAGGTTCGAGGAGTCTCAGGTCCGGCAGGGATTGTAGGTGGGGGGAGTGAATGTGCAGCGCTCTCTCCCACCTTCAATACCACGACTGAGGTGCCCTTGAGCAAGGCACCAAACCCCCAACTGCTCCCCGGGCGCCGCAGCATAAATGGCTGCCCACTGCTCCGTGTGTGTGTGTGTGTGTGTGTGTGTGTGTGTGTGTGTGTGTGTGTGCGTGTGCGTGTGCGTGTGCGTGTGTGTGCACTTAGGATTGGTTAAATGCAGAGCACTAATTCCTAGTATGGGTAACCATACTTGGCCACATGTCACGTCACTTTTTTTTTTATCAGCTGTTAGACCTTTTATTAAGATGCCTTTCCAAATAATACCCATTCAATTGAATTTGCCATAGGTTAACTTCACTCGAAGTGTAGTAACATCTACAAGCACTATGAATGCTCCTGAGCTAAATTTCGCAGCTGAATACTTATGCAATGGAATCATTTAAGGTTTTTTATTTTTAATAAATTTGCAAAGATGTTAAAAAACTGTTTTACTTCCTCCTTTACAATTATGGTGTATGGAGTGTAGATTGATGTGGGAAAAAAGTAATTTAAAGCAGTTTAGCATAAGGCAGCAACTTAACAATATGTGAAAAAAATGAAAGGGTATGAATATTTTCGCAAGGCACTGTAAGTCCCGCCTTCTAAATAAAAGAGGCAATCACCAATGGGCAAAGTCATCACATGACTGGTTATAAACTAGCTGCCATACAGAAACAGTCATGCCCGAATCGTGCGCTTTGGACAGCAAAAAATAAATAAATCTTACTACCTGAAGTTTTTTTTTTTTTTTTACATTTATGGGACAGTTCATGTTGGATTTTGTTGCTGATTTGAAAAGTTATTTAAGTGCAAATGTGGCAGGGATTTTTTTCGATTTCACTATTCGCGAGTGAAAGATATTCCTTGAAATGGACTTTAGAGACAGATCTGATAGGAATGCATTATAGATAAGTAAACCTCGTGAAACACTTTCAAATGTGACCCAGGACCACAAAACCAGTCATAAGGGTCAATTTTTCTAAATTGAGATGTATGCATAATCTCAAAGCTGAATAAATAATCTGTCCATTGATATATGGTTTGTTAAAATGGGACAATATTTGGCAGACTATTTAAAAATCTGGAATCTGAGGGTGCAAACAAATCAAAATATTGAGAAAATTGCCTTTAAAGTTGTCCAAATGATGTTCTTAGCAATCTATATTACTGATCAAAAATTAAGTTTTGAAATATTTACAGAAGGACATTTAAAAAATATCTTTACTTAATGTCCTAATGATTTTTAACCTAAAAGAAAAATCAATCATTTTGACCCATACAATATATTTTTGGCTATTGCTACAAATATACCCCAGTGACTTAAGACTAGTTTTGTGGTCCAGGGTCACAAATATAAAATATGCTGACCAAAACCATTTCTTGACACTATATGACATCTTACAGATAATTTGGCAACAGGAAGAACCGCCATACAGTCGTCAACCTATGGCCTCTGGTCTGCTGAACAGGCCATTGACTTCAGTCCAGGTTTCACAAAATCATGGTCATTGTGTTCCTCAACCACTGCTCAGACTAACCCATGGTGGAGAGTGGATCTGTGTTATATTTACAGAGTAAGTAGAGTTGTCATCACAAACAGACTAGACTGTTGTTCAGAACAAATTAACGGAGCGGAGATTCGCATCGGAAACTCTTTGGAGAACAATGGCAACAACAATCCCACGTGAGACCCTCTTTCAGTTGCATAATATCCATAAATTATCCCTGAAATAACATATGAAGAAAGCCTATAAGTCTAAATGAGGTTTCCTCCGTCTCTCTTTAGATGCGCTGTGATTTCTAGCATTCCAGCTGGTGTTTCCTCCACCTACACATGTAACGGTATGGAGGGTCGATACGTGAATCTGTTCATTCCTGGAGAGTCAAAGTATCTTACTCTGTGTGAGGTGGAGGTCTATGGAGAAGGTATGATCAAACATGGAAAATCAAGCTATAAATGAAATTAATATAATGTATAATATATAATGAAATCCAAAACGGGGTTCTTACTAATTTTGGGCTGTTGATTCCAAAAGCAGTGTCTGTTTTGCTTGAGCACAGTTTTTCGAGATTAGAAAATATAATGCTTTTCGTTGCATTTTTGCTTTTGAGAACCATTCGCAATGTGACGAAGCCTTGTATTCTCACTTAATCAGCAGAAAAAACACCCCAAACACAACTCCTGTCTGAGTCTGCTATATGTGTGGGTGTTTTACGACATGAAAATATTAACAGAAAATTATAGATTTTGTGAAAAGTGTATTTATTCACTTACAAATGTGCCTATGCAAAGTTCCTTGGCATTAAATATTTATGAACTTTTTGTCATTAAACCAAAATTTTGACATTTGCCTGTTTTTGTTATTTTGATAAGTGCATTACAGCTGATACACATACAGTGGTCTGAAAAAGGTTTTGCCCCCTTCCTGTTTTTTTCTTTTGTGAATATTTATCACACTTGAATGATTCAGAGCAAACTAATTTTAATATTATACAAAGATAGTCAGAGTAAATAAAATTTTTTTTTTTAAATAATGATTTAATTTGTTAAGGGGGAAAACAATCTGTCTAAACCTGCCTGGCACTGTGTGAAAGAGTAATTGCCCCCTAAATCTAATAACTGGTTGTGCCACCCTTTGCAGCAACAACTGCAATCATGTGTTTGCGATAACTGCCAATGAGTCCTTCACATCGCTGTGGTGGAATTTTGGCCCACTCTTCTTTGCATTGTTTTCATTCAGCCACATTGGAGGGTTTTCGAACATGAATGGAATGTTTAAGGTCATGCCACAGCATCTCAATCAGATTTAAGTCAGGACTTTGACTTGACCACTCCAAAACCTTAATTTTGTTTTTCTTGAGCCATTCAGAGGTGGACTTGCTGGTGTGTTTGGGATCATTGTCCTGCTGCATAACCGAAGTGCGCATGAGCTTGAGGTCACAAACTGACGGCCAGATATTCTCCTTCAGGATTTTCTGATAGAGTGCAGAATTCATGGTTCCGTCAATTATGGCAAGTTTACCAGGTCCTGAAGCTGCAAAGCAGCCCCAGATCATCACACTACCACCACCATAATTGACTGTTACTATGATGTTCTTTTTATGAAATGCTGTGTTGGTTTTACGCCAGATGTAACGGGACACACACCTTCCAAAAAGTTCAACTTTTGTCTCATCAGTCCACAGAATATTTGCCCAAAAGTCTTGGGGATAATCAAGATATTTTGTGGCAAATGAGAGACGAGCCTTTGTGTTCTTTTTGGTCAGCAGTGGCTTTTGCCTTTGAACTCTCCCATGGATGCCATTTTTGCCCAGTCTCTTTCTTATTGTTGAATCATGAACACTGAGCTTAATTGAGGCAAGGCCTGTAGTTCTTTAGATGTTGTTCTGGGTTCTTTTATGACCTCTTGGATGAGTCGTCGTTGTGCTCTTGGAGTAATTTTGGTAGGCCGTCCACTCCTGGGAAGGTTCACCACTGTTCCAAGTTTTCTCAATTTGTGGATAATGGCTGTGACCGTGATTCGCTGGAGTCCCAAAGGCTTAGAAATGGCTTTATAACCCTTTCCAGACTGATACATGTCAACTGTTTTGTTTCTCATCTGTTCTTGAATTTCTTTAGATCGCGGCATGATGTGTTGTTCTTTAAGCATGCTTCACTTTGTCAGACAGGTTCTATTTAAGTGATTTCTTGATTCAACAGGTCTGGCAGTAAAAAAGTATCTGATGGAGTTTTTAGTTGATATTTTTAAACTCACCATAATCAAATAATTTGCAAATCAGCTGATTTTCATTCAAGATGCAGGGATGTAATTGATTTATTGTTTTTTTTTTAATGTAACATTTCTAAGGTTTTATGCTCTCAACTGTCAATACTTCACTACATAAAAAGCATTCATTTGTGTTTGACACTAAACCTCATTCATCCTTACTGCAAGTGAACCTGTATTTAATGTCATCTGGGTCATATTTGTTTCACTTTGTGTACACAACCTAGTCATGTTACATCTGTTTAATATTAAGTGTAATACGTTTGCACCAAAATGCTGTGGATTGTTGTCAAGATCAAAAGATGCGATGATACGATTATGTAATTGGGTATCCTAAAAATGCATGATTATATGATCAGTTGCATTTTATTATTTTGCATTTAGCGTTTTCTTTTCCCTTCTGTCTATGTATTGTTCACTCACTCTCATGTGTCACTCTTTTTAGGTCCTGTACTGAAGAAAACCTTTGTGAAGATGAAACTGAAGTCCAGTTTGAGTCTGTCTGAACCTGAAATGAGAGTCCAGCTCCTGTCACAGGTGAGAGAGGGAAACATACAGAAATCTGAAATCATATCACACTGATAGCGGTTTTAAGAGATCTGCTCATTTCAGCTTCAGTCTGCTCTGGCAAAACAAGGAATTTCTGATGTGACGCTGCAATGGTCTAAACCGCCAGCTGCTCAACAGGAAGTGATGTGGAAGGAAGATGCATCAGGTGAGTGTGTTCATAAAAGTAAACACTGGCAAACTGAAAAGATGTTGATTTTTAAAGTAAAAATATTACGATGAATATGTATGTATTACAAATGAACTGGGAAATTACATCTTTATAACGTAATGAACCGTTTTATTTACAGCTCAATGTGCTGGAGGAAAGAGAGGATGATGATGATGGGAAAACTCTTGATCAACTTGTTTATCATCTTCCATTTACAACTCCAATTCCAGAGATGTTGGGACATTTTGTAAAATGCAATAAAATCCATAATCTCTGATTTGTTAAAACCTTTTAATATTTGTTTTACTATAAAAGTAAAAAAAAAAAAAAAAAAAAACATTTCCAAAGTTTTCACTGACCAACATAAATATATTTTGTAAATATAAAAAAAATTATATAGATTTTGATGGCTAACACACTCCAGAAAGGTTGGGACAGAGGCACGTTTAACACTGTGTAACATCAACTTTCCTTTTAATTACAATGTTTCATTGTTTGGGAATTGAGGATACTAACTGTTAAAGTTTTGCAAGCAACATTTTTGTCCAGTCTCGCTTGATACAAAACTTCAGATGCTCAGCAGTCCGTGATCGTCATCTGGTTCTCCTTTCCATGACTGGAATTTTCATGCATTTTCAATAAGAGTCAGATCTGGACTGCAGGTAGGCCAGTCTAACACATTCACTCTGTCTCTACGAAACCACGCTGTTATAGCACATGCAGAATGAGAGCTGGCATTGTCTTGATCTAATAACCATGGACTTCCCGACATCATCTTGATGGCAGTATATGTCTCTGTACAATCCCATTATATGCCTTCATGTCAATAGTACCCTGCTGTGCTGCACCCCCATACCATGACAGACGTTTGCTTGAAAGCGAAAACCAAAAGCGGATGATGGAACACACCAATCATTTCACATATAATTAAGGAAGTGTGAAATGAAGTGACACAGTGGCTTGTTGAGGAGAGTGTATTGCAACGGGTAGGATTAAATCTTAGAAAATAATAAAAAAAATGTCAAACTTGAGTAAACTTAAACTTAGCCTATATTTTTTGTAGTACAGTGCTGAATGCAAATTTAGAGAAACAAAAATCACATTAATTGTCTCCTTTTACATTGATTGTTAATTATAACACTCAAGCTTCAGTAACTAACAGATAACTAATTACAGAATTGGCGGCTAATTCGTAAAGAAATAGTATAATCTCATTTGTATGTTTTCAGTCTGCTTTCTGCAAGTCCCACAGACAACTATGATTAGGGTAGACCTTCTTGCTTAGTATTTTCCTAAAAATAAAATAGTACGAATTCCTACTAAACTGCCACCTCATCAAATAGTTATGTTTGGATTACCACCATCAGTAAACCTTATTCCGGTTAAGTGAGTAATTTTCTCACATGGGATTGTTGTTGCCGTTGTTTTACAAGGAGTTTCCAATGCAAACCTTGGCTCCATTGATTTGTTCAAAGCAGCAGTCTATCCTGTTAATGATGATCACTTCTCTAATGATTTGTAGATACATCAGATCCAGCCTCCACAATGGGTTTGTCTCGGTTTTGGTGTGGGTGCAGTGAAATTAAAATTGCTACCGTCAATGGCTGTATTAGCCTTGTAGCGGACTGTCGATGACTGGACAGCCTTTCACTTGATTACAATATTCAAGAAAGGACAACGAGAAATACAAATACCCATGTTATCCTCATCTATAATTCCCATGCAGTTTAAATGATTTAATTATATGTTAACTTTCCTTGTGGTAGTGAAAGAGTGTCACTAAAGTTTGTTTACTGGAATAGACTGAGATGAGACATTTTAACAGACTCTCAGAGTTTGTATCTTAATGTTGTAGTAAGAATTGACAGAAACCTTTTAAAAGCCTTTAACAAGTGTGAGAGAAATGATAAAATATCAAACATTTGTATTTCTCTGTAAACCCTCCTGTTTTCCATGAAAAACAACATTTGCATATATGTGAGTGTTTTTCAGAAGAGGAGTTCATGATTTGGACATGCAAATCCTACCAAAGTGTCTGAGTGCTTAGGCAAATAAAGATAAAAACGAATTACAGAAAAGCACCAAACATTCATTTTGGATGTTATAGGTACCAAGCTAAAGCTAAAGAAACCATTTGAAACAAAATAAATCATCCATCTATTATAATATTACATTTTAATAAATAAAGTATACATAATTATTCATTCACAATTTGAAAAAAAAACAAGTGGTCAGTTTTAATGAACTCTTATCAGTTTTCACTTCTTGAACTGGTCGACTTCCTTTGAAAAAATCACAAATATATATAGACTAATTTACAGTAAACCAATGCCACATAAAAATAAAAAAAAACTTCTATAACATTTATACTGAAAATAGACACATGTATGCACTAGAGTACGAGAAACTATTGACTACATTTTTTCATCAGCTTCTTCTTGAAATGTGAAAATCCCTGTAGAAAAAAGGGTTGTACTGTGTTTCACAGATATATTGACAGATTTATACTCCTATCCACCTTATTTTTAAACGCAGAAGAAAGCCATTTTCTCTCAATGCGAGATTTCCAGTTCATTAACTGCTGTAGGGAAATAACGAGAAGAATAACAAAGTGAAGTAAACACTGGCCATCTGGAGCACCGGGAGAATTTGGCCCGCTGTCCTGTTTTTTTTTTTAGTTATTATTATCATTAATATTTTATATTTATGCCTTCTCAATGTACCAGAGTGATTATTTCAGTTTTTTCATTTGATAATAAATCATAAATCGGTTAGACTTGACCGGCAGCACTGCGCTACACTAATCAGCTCACATCTGTTCCACGCTTCGGTCAAACGGTTCTGAACAGAACCGATCCGGGACTCAATGAAAGAGAGGAAGCAGACAGAAGAAGCTGTGAAATGTAACTACATCACTGACCTGTTCAGGGCTTCAAGTGCAGGTCAGTTTAATCTGTAAATACGCTAGATAGATTTGTCTTTATTAACCTAATTGAGTATTAAACTGCTAGTAGCACCTCATTATTATCATCATTCAGAATGCTGTGCTAAAGGACATCAATGTCGATTGTAAAGTTACATTAAAAAAATTAGCAGAGACAGAAATTCACATAGATTTATTGTACAGGGAGGGAGAGAACTTGAGCAGACAGCAACACAAAAATAATATGTCACAGATTAATAATTCAATAGTGTTTCAGTATTATAATTTTTCAACAAATATATTGTACTAATTTTGACATTTAGGTACTTTAGAAATTGTGTTCTAATACAATACCAGTCAAAAGGTTTTGATCAGTAAGAATATATACATATTTTTAAAGAAGTCTCTTCTGCTCACCACACCTGCATTTATTTGATCCAAAATACAGCAAAAATAGCAATATTGTGAAATATTTTTATTATTTAAAATGACTGATTTCTATTTGAATATATTTTAAAATGTAATTTATTCCTGTGATTTCAAAGCTGAAATTTCAGTGTCACATGATCCTTCAGAAATCATAATAATATGCTGATTTGCTGCTCAAAATCAATTATTATTATTATTATTACTACGTTGAAAACGGATTCAATTTTTTTTCCAGTTTTATTTGTTGAATAGAAAGTTCAGAAGAACAGCATTTATCTGAAATAGAAATCTTGTAACTTTATAAATGTCTTTATCATCAAAATGTCATTATAAATGTCTTTTGATCAATTTAAAGCATCCTTGCTAAATAAAAGTAATAATTTCTATAACCCCTCCCCCAGATAAATGCTGATCTTTGGATGTTTCTATTCATCAACAAATTCTGATGTACTAAGAGATATTGGGGAAAATGAAGAAAAGGGAAAGGAAACTGAAGGTGCAGTGCAAGAGAGAACCTGTTATTATTTTCCACAGCCCCAGACCAAGGATTTACAACTTGTTATGTGATGGCCATACGAATAACAGGGTTGTCACACAAACCAATCACATCCAATCATAACCAATCATATCTGATTATAGCATGATGGAGGCATTGCCTCCACTCATGTGACTTTGCCCTATTCATTCTCAATTACCCCCCACTCAACCCATGGCATGCTACGGGGTCTCTGTTAAAAGTCAATGGGCTGAGGGGAGGCAAGTTTCCACTGTAACTTTGCCTGCGGGTGTCGCTGTTGGACAGTGTTACTTTATAAAAACGAGTGACTTTTAAACTTTCAACTCCCCCAGATAAATGCTGATCTTTGGATGTTTCTATTCATCAACAAATTCTGATGTACTAAGAGATATTGGGGAAAATGAAGAAAAGGGAAAGGAAACTGAAGGTGCAGTGCAAGAGAGAACCTGTTATTATTTTCCACAGCCCCAGACCAAGGATTTACAACTTGTTATGTGATGGCCATACGAATAACAGGGTTGTCTGTGGTTTCAGAAATTGTTGTGGATGTATAGGCTATATATATATATGTAGTTCTGTAAACACCATCACCGACACGAAGATATATCTTTCATTTCATCAAACTGAATGCTCACTAACTGACATAGTCATAATGTTTGCAGACCATTTAAAGTTTTATTTTGACATGACACATAGCAGTGATGTTTAAGTGGGTGAGTTGTTTACTTACTTTATAATTAGTCAACACCATAATTTTCTTAATTCAGGTCAAGAGCTTGCACAAAAACAAGAGGCAGGATTTATCACACAAACCAATCACATCCAATCATAACCAATCATATCTGATTATAGCATGATGGAGGCATTGCCTCCACTCATGTGACTTTGCCCTATTCATTCTCAATTACCCCCCACTCAACCCATGGCATGCTACGGGGTCTCTGTTAAAAGTCAATGGGCTGAGGGGAGGCAAGTTTCCACTGTAACTTTGCCTGCGGGTGTCGCTGTTGGACAGTGTTACTTTATAAAAACGAGTGACTTTTAAACTTTCAATGTCCATATATAGTAATATTTGCATTATTTTATTTTTGAAATATTATTTATTCATCCAATTTTTTGAGGAGACACTTCCTCCCTTACCTACTCAGAGGAAACATCCCTGGTAAAAACTATATATTGTTTCATGGGTTAATCTAAAATAAAGAATACTTAATCTAAAATATTAATTTAAATATAGGTATTAGGGATGCACCGATACCACTTTTTACAGTACTCGCCCAATACCGATACTTTTATTTTTGGTACTTGCCGATACTGAGTACCGATACCAATATTTTATTGCATTTGTAC